TCCAGTACTCGTTTCAGATGTTCTACGTGGTCTTCGTACGTTTCAGAGTACACGATAATGTCATCCAAGTAGACCTTTACATACCTATTCAACATTCCGGCGAAGATTTCCGTCATGGCTCGTTGGAATGTTGCTGGAGCGAGCTTCAGCCCGAATGGCATGGCCAGGAATTGGTACTGCCCTCCAGAAGGTGTAAAAAATGCAGTATACTTCTTGGACGCCGTCTCCATGGGTAGCTGCCAGTAGCCGCATGTTAGGTCCAGGCTGGTAAACACCTTGGCTTGCCCCAGGTCCCGGACTGTTTCTGCTATTGGTGGCAGCACGCTAACGACGTCCGACGTCCTCTTGTTTAACTCCCTGTAGTCCACGCAGAAACGCCATCCTGATGATTTTTTCACCAGGACCACCGGTGACGCGTAGGGCGAATTGGAGGGTTCGATGATGCCCCCCTGGAGCATCTGTTCCACCTGGGTCTCGATTTCAGCGGCCTTCTCCTCGGAATACCTCCGTGGACTGGTCCGGAATGGCGTACGGTCGTGCAGTTCGATCCGGTGCGAACGCAGTACTTGGAAAGGTGGCCGCATCTTGCTACTGAACAACCCACGACGTTGATGCACCAGGTCTTCCATCTTTCGGCGAAGGTCTTGGGGAACGCCTCCAGGTATCTCCGGAAGTTGGATGGCTTCGCTGTCCAGTTCCGGATCCTTTTCTGGCCTCCAGAACACCGCCATCCGCTCACGCTTCCCGAGGTATACACAACCTCTGGCGACGTCCACCAGCACCTGTTGTGCCTCCAAGAAATCCATACCAAGGATCATCGGGTATGGAAGTCTTCCCACCACGTGCATGGTATGCACGTAGGACTGCCCTCTGATGCGGAAATGTACCCTGGTGTGGCCCAATACTTGTAATTGAGCGTCGCCAATGGTCCGTATCTTCCTCGCTTCGGGTACGTAGTCCTCAGCCAACGCTAGATCGACCAGCGTCAGGCTCGCGCCAGTATCCACTAACGCCTTCGACGGCTGCCCATGAACTTGTACTTGGATCACGGGTGGCCCCATGCCTTCTGGCACCATGTTTATTTCGGAGGGGTAACTTTGTCGGTACCCCTCCTCTGGGAGTTTTCCGACGACTGAGCTGGTTCCTTGAATTTGATCAGCGTTGCGCGATTAAAATCGCACGCTCGTAGGTCGGCTTCCAAAGCGCGGGCACATCTCATTAATTCGTCCATCTCCATGGGCATCTTCAATCGTAATGCATAACGAACTCTGGGCAAAAGTAGCTCGAAGACTTCGTCGACGAGGTGGTTCTCCGGGATATTTGGCAGCAACCACCTAGACATGGACCTCTTCCTCTGTATGAAGCGGACGACGTCTTCTTCCTCCGACTGACTCTCCCCATAAAATTTCGAAATCAGCTTGGTTATTCTGCCTTTTGCCATGAACGTTTCTTTGAACTCGACCATGAACCGGGCCCAACTGATCTCCTGGGTCTTGTACCAGGCAAAGGTCTGCTCTTCTTTGCCCTTGATCTGGCCCAGGGCATGGAACGCCCATTCGTCGGCGGGGATGTGCCTCTTCTTGAGTGCTTCCTCCATCTTCCTCAGGAAGAAGCTGGGATCTTCAAAATCTTCACCGCTGAAGGTTGGAAAAACGCTCCTCTGAACTGGAACGTCCTTCAGTGCCCTCGCCATCTCGTAGACCATTTCTCCGAGATCCGGGAATAAGGGTTGGGACGTGGTGGACACCTGGTGGTTTCCTTCATGCGTAGTCCCTGCTCGGGCGCCATGTTGTAGTCGACGGCTTGGGTCCGGCAAAATCGTAGTATTTGCCGGCACCGTGCCGGATACACTTCCGGGTTGGTTCCCGATAGCAATGGTGACTACTGAAGAGGGCGGGGACGGCAGGCCCTCAGGGTGGTGGTCGGCAATGGGGGTTCCATCATCCTCGAAGCTGTCCTCAGCTTCGTGGAAGTGTTCCATGTCGCCTTCGCCTTGGGGTTGATTCGTAGTTGGGTCTGCGTTCAGTTGGTCGGCCATTCTTGCTTGCGACCGGGTTAGAACCATACGTATCGTAGCTTCAATAGCCTGGGAACGGCCCTACTGGGGCCAGGGATCGGCCCTGCTAGTAGGCCTGGGAGTGGCCCTGCTGGGACCAGGGATCGGCCCCGGAGTCGGCCTGGGAACGGCCCTGCTGGCTGGCCTGGAAGCGGCCCTAATGGGGGCCAGGGAACGGCCCCGCTGAATGCTGCGACGTCCGTAGAAGCTGACCAAACGGCCACTGCCGAAGACAGGTGACCTGGGGCTCTGCTGGACGTCTTCTTCACGTTGTTTGGCTCTAAGAAGAACCGATTGTGCCTACACTCAGGGACTTGGGCTGCTACTTGCTGGTTGGAACGCCAGATCTCGCAGATGTGTTTTAAGAAGAACAGCTTTTGCCTGCTTACAGGACTTGGGCTGCTACTCGCTGGTGGGTATCACCGGGTCTTCGAATAATACAAGTAGATGGTTGGTAAAGTCGACGGTTTGTCTTTGTTGCCAGGAAGACTGGTGACTTTCCTCTTGAGAAGCTCAAGAGAGACTGATTTGAAAAGCCACCTGTCTTTTCTTATATAGACGAACGGACCTCTGTCGTACTCTGATTCGCTACGATGTGTAGCCAATCAGGTTCGAGCAGCGACTGAGGCCCGTTTCGACAATCTGTTGTGATTGGATCGGCTGGTCCAAGGAATGACGTCCTCTGGGTTCCTCCTGAGGGCTGCCTGTCGTCAGGGGTTCGGATTGGGCAAGCAAAATGGTGCTACATGCACCTGAAGTGTTAAAACAAACGCTAGCAGCGTTGTTATGCTGGGCTGTCCCAGACTGGGCTTCCTGTAGAACCATTGGTACATGAAGGTCCATCTGGTAACGTGGAACGTGCATGGGCACGTCGGTAACGGTGTCCATGGCAGCAGGTCCAACCAATTCTAAAGTATCGTTGACTTTGGAAACCAATTCGTTGACTCCGAAGACGTTGTCCACAGAAGCCTTGATTTCTTCCGTAGTTGCGTTCAACTTCGCGATTTTGGAAGCTGAGCGTGTGACAATGGGCATATCACTGTTCCTGCTGGCTCTGACGGCGGTGGGTCTCCATCAGGTCTTCAATAACATATCCATGCTCATTGACTATGACATTCCTCACAATCTGGTATACGGGACGGCGGGCTTTAAGTTGGTATTTAAATGAACGAACTAAAGTATCCCTTACTTTGGCTAATTTCTTCAAAGCCTTCTTATCGTACGGCATTGTTTACCAGAAGTTTACCTTTTTCTTTATACAAATTCGAATCTTTCGAATTTTAATTCAAAAATAAATTCAATTCACTTGAATTTACAAGTTTAGTTCTACGAACTGTTTTTAAATATCAAAAATAATTTAACTTCGAGTCTTTCGAAGTTTAATTCAAAATAAAATTCAATTACTTGAATATTTTAATCAAAAAATAATTAATTCCCGAAGGAAATTAATTTTAAAATAGGCAAACAATAAAAACAATATTTCAAGTCAAAATAAGTTACCAGTTGGTTTGTCGAGATGGCACATCGAGTAGGAGTCAAAGCTGGAAGTCGCTTTGAGCTCGTAATTTGAACTGAATGTAATGTAGCAGCTATTACTATTTATATTAAATCAGAAGGATTTTGAAACCAATAAGAATTGATAACTCGTTTCATTACCTTATTTGGTCACGAAAACCGTGTTTCTAGAACAAAATAGAAGCTTTGGAATTTCGTATGACCAAATAAGGGCATTTGTAAAATGTAAAATTTTCGCAAAAGTTAAACTAACTAATAGAAAACGTTTCGCTATTTGATTGGTTGGAAACAATTGTGTCTTTTTCAATTGTTTCCGCCCATTTTTTCGTTTCTGTTTCGAACATTTTCCTTAATTGTGATTGGTCGAAAACAGCGCTTCTCGATAAATCCTGTTGTACACGGGTGACTCGGTGCTCTGGAATCTCGGCAGATGCTTGCACCGGCACCTGGACACTTCCGGGTTGTTGCCCAGCGAGGATGGTACTCGTGGAAGATGGTGGTGAGGCATCGCTGACCTGGTGGACCTGGGCAGCGTCGCCTGTGCCCTCCAGGAAGCTGTCTTCAGCTGGGAGGTACTCGGGTTCGTCGTCATCTATGGCTGGAGCCCCGGCAGGCACCTGGTGCACATCCATCCTGGTCTGGGATCGGATACGTACCATACGTGCCCCTTCGGAAGGCCTAGGATCGTCCCTAGGAGTAGGCCGGGATCGGCCCTGTGAATGGCCTGGGATCGGCCCCTCGGACGGACCTGGAGCGGCCCTACTCTCGGACCTGGATCGGCCCTGCTGTCGGACCTGGATCGGCCCCGCTAGTGGACCTGGATCGGCCCCACTGACGGACCTGGAGCGGCCCTGCTGTCGGACCTGGGTCGGCCCGGTGGTTGGACCTGGATCGGCCCAGCTGTTGGACCTGGCACGGCCCCGCTGGTGGAACTGGTCGGCGATGTTGACCACCTGTGCAACCCGGTGGTTGGGACGTCGCTCGACCTCGCTGGCGGTGCTGGAATCCAATGGCTGGGATCTGGTGCTGTCGTCCACGGTGTAGAAGTTTAATCTTTTCTTATGAAAAGGTAATAACTACACAAAGTCTTTCTTTCTTTTTGATTGTTCTTAAAAGAACAATTTGTTTCCCTGCTCTCGTAGCAGCAACAAGGAAAGGTAGCCCTCAGGGATTTAAATGAAATTCAAGTTCTAAGTTGAAGCGGCGACTTGTCTTCGTAGGCAACCAGGGAGCTGTTGTCTTCACGAGTGGTAATCTCGTACTGAATTTTGAGAGGTCTGATCCTCTCTTTTATAGAGAATCGACTGACTGTCGAATTCAACTGTTGTAAACGTAAGACATCGGGGTTGGATGGTCCAGCTCCGATGATATCTACAGGGTACGGCTGCTCTTTGAAATATTGGACATTTCCTTGGCCAGGTCCAGGTACTGCTGAAGCTAAATAACTCGGAGCAGCCGGAGCTGCGGTGGTATGAACGTCAGGAGCGACGTTAGAACGCTGATTCCCTTCCCAAGAGCCGGAGCATCCCGGAGCAGCATTGAACATGGTTGGAAAAGGTCCGGGAGCCATCAAGGGATGTGGGTTGACCCTCCAAGGGTCGGAGCATCCCGGAGCAGCACCTATTATGGTATGGTGAGGTCCATGAACCATCATGGGATGTGGATTGGCCCTCCAAGAGTCGGAGCATCCTGGAGCAGCATTGGCCATGGTGAAGAAAGGTCCGGATGACATCGTGGGTTGCGGGTTGCCCCTCCAAGGGTCGAAGCATCCCGGAGCAGCACCGATTACAGCCGGAAAAGACCCGGAAGCCATCATGCTAGGTTGCTGAGCAATCCAGGGTCCAGCATGCCCCGGAGCATCATGGCAGTTAATTTCAGGCAAGCCGCCAGCCAACACGTATGGATGCTGTGTCACCCCCACGTCGGAGCGTCTCGGAGCATCCGAAGTGGCACCTTGGCTACCTCCCAACGTGGAAACATCCTGGATTCCGCTAGGCTTCAACGCAACCGGCGGTGAAGTGGCGGGCATCCACGACGCAACACGGTCGGCAACGCTGGAGCTCCCCGGAGCTACCGTGGACGAACCGGTGGACATGTCGGCGCTGGAATCCGCGGCGTTCGCGGTGTTCTCCAGAGATGACTGGATGTCCCGGATTACTGAAACATCCTGTATATTATTAACGCTAGTTAACAATTCACGTTCGGCTGAAATGAAAAATAAAAAAAAAATAAATAAAAATAAAAAATAAAACAAACCAAAAGAGGATAAATAAAAATATAAAAAAAATCATCAAAAAGAAAAAAATAAAAATATGAATATCCCACAAACTAACCACATCTAACAATCAATTAATTACTCTTTCAGACATTACAACAGAATGCTAGTCAAAAGGAGGGTTAACCTATGTTTTCCCTTCCCTAGACAAAGCAAATATCAAACAGCCTCACCCACCCCTTAAAATAAAAACATACCCGATGTCTTTGCAAAGTATAGCCATTTCAACCACCCCTACCCCTGCCCACTAAGCGCTGGCGCTGAACAGCAGGCAATTGGGCAAAAACCTATCACTTTAGACATAACAAATAATTCAACTAATTAATTAAGCTTTTCCAAGACATGATGGAGTTAAAGTCAAATAGACTGAACTCCAGGTGGGTAGAATCTAAGTTTTTGATTGTAAAAAACCATTTCTCCCCCCCCATTCTACTAAGAGGCAACACATCATCGACCTCGGTGTCGTTAACGGTGGGTTGGCCTGTGATGGTGCAGGTTTTGGTTGCCGGCCATCTTGGTTTGGTGCGCTAGCTTGGTGGTGGTTGCGTCAAATTCCCAGGCGCTACGGAAAGCAGCTAGTGGGGGGCTCGACTGTTGGCGTTCCCAAGACGGTCTACGCGTCGGAGTGGGGTCGCGCGGCCTGCGCTCCTGCGGCGATCTTGATCGCCTGACTGGGGTGTAGTACTGCGCGGCGGCATGCACTTGCGCTTTGGTAACTTCCGTGAGGCCGGATGTGGCGTTGCTGCACGTGGCCTGTTGTTTCTTCGTGCTACGATTAATGGCGGACTCACTTTGGCGTTTTTCCTTTATAAGCTTCTTACTTTGGCTATTTTTGGCTCTGATTTGCTCGATTATTTCGTTACTTGTTGTAGTTTATGCGTGGGGCCCTACCACGGCCTACTGTTGATGGGGGCGAGATAGAAGCACCGGACGAATTGCCCGGCTTGTCAGCCACATGTCTGTCTGTAATTTCGGCACTGATTAGCGTCCGAAATCACGATTTGCACAGCACATAACACAATACATTAATTGCAGTCTTATCTGTTCATTCACTATTAATTTATTTAGAAAAATCTACTTTACTATAAAAATGATCTATGAGTTAGCCGGAGCGCTTTGAAACACGTCCGCTCGCTACGAAAGTCGAACGGAGAACGAAGTCCGCAGTGCTAACTACTACACCACCGAGGGCGGTTTATTTATGTTTATTAAGGTCATTTCCACGAAAAAATTAAATCCCTTTTTTATTGTAACTGTAAAAGTGCATCAATTTCAAAAATTGTTTAATATCTATCAATATAAGAAATCATTTTGATAAAAACCTTGTATAGGCCCTCAAACAGCTTTAGCCCAGGGCCCCAAAAGGTAACGGTCCGCCCCTGAGTACAGTTCTATTTTAGGTTTAGGATAAAAATACAGTAGCTATGTAATGCCCAGACTTAAGGCATTGAGAGGTGTTAAATTAGGGTGGTAATGAAACGCTGGTGGTCGGCTTGAATGTTCGTATCGAACTCTCTTTATTGAAGAATGATATATTTTATTACAATTATAATGTGGTCAAATAATTCTTATTGCAGTTTGCACTTTGCGGATTATTGACCTAAGAATGTTAAGTGTCATCATTATGTACAGTGAATGAACTATGTCTCTGCACTACGCCTTCCCCGAAAAATTTTAAAAAATGTTTTTATATATTTTTACATTTTTTTTACATAATACTTATTCTAACATTAAGAAATAATATAATGATACAATAATATTATCTATTATCTATTATGTTTGTATTAACTATTACAATTCTCATTAATTTTAAGTTATATAGAATCCTAATACATTTTATCTACTAACCTATATACAATATATTATACATATCAGCGCTGATTTATACCTACTACAGTAGTATAATTACATAAAAAACTACAAATTACCTGATACACTTATTCTATATAAGGTTTTATCCTATCCTTATGAACTTTAATAACCTTATTATTGTCTAATTTAATAAATACTTGCTTTCTAGTTTATTTCCTGTTTCATTCTTTAACATAAGTTTAGGTTTATTATTTATGCTGTTACTTTTTAAATCAAATCGTTTTTTCCTTTTAACTTTTGATACAATTAAATTTTGTTTTGCATCTTTCCAAGCTGTTTGCAACCTATATTTAAGCTCTAACGAATAACCATTAAAATTATATAAGGGGTCTATTTTTCTTATAACGTGTGATGGTAAACTGGCTGACTTTCCAAAAACAAGTTCGTACGGTGCGTATTTGGTTTCCGAATGTACACTAGTATTATAACAAAATGACCAAAAGGGAATCCATGTGCTCCATGTTTCTGGATGTTTAGAAATTTGAATGCGTAAATAGTTACCTAAAGATTTATGATTATTTTCTAATGCACCAATTATCTGGTGGTGATAGGCTGTTGAATTAAGTTTTTTAATTTTAAGTAGTTTACATATTTCCGAAAAAATATTTGACATAAATTCTGTCCCTTGATCTGTTAATATTATTTGTGGCACGCCATATCTTAATATAAAATTTTCTACAAAAGCTTTGGAAATGGTTATTGTTTCTTTGTTTTGAATTGGATAACATTCAATAAATTTCGTTAAATCACATTGTAATGTTAAAATATAACGATTGTTCTCTGAATCCATTTCTAATGGTCCTACAATATCTAACATATTTTTTTCAAATGCGGATGAAGAAGTGGATGTTAACGTCATTGGTTCTTTAAAAGTTTCTTTAAAAGGCTTTGATCGTTGACAATCATCACATTTTTTAATAAATTTTTCTACATCAGATTTTAAACCGTTCCAATAAAAATGTTTTTTAACATTGTTATAATATCGTTTTATGTCCACCTGTTGGTAATATGTGATAATCATTTAAAACTAATTGTCTAGTTTCTAAATCTGTTAACTGGAAACTTTTAATAAATTAGATATAAGTTGCGCGCTATTTTCATTTCTAATAATAATTAATTCCGGAAGATTATATTTTTCAAAAATATTTTTCAGGTGTCTCAACGACTCCTCGAAGGTTGACGCTGATCGACTATCCTGAACATTAATATAAATAATACTTAAACTTTTATCATAAATACAGTTTCCATTTACATAAGTAAAGTTTTTATTACTATTTACATTTTATTAATTAATTTATTGTCAATTGGTCTTAATTTGGTAAATTCATCAGGACATTTTAACACTTCAACAACGCCCGGGTGGCCAGTCCGTTTGTTGGAAAAGTTATTAAATGTATCCGTTTCTTCATTTTGTTTGTTTTGGCGTTCTTTTTGTGCCCGAGTTGTTATTGCAAATATTAGATCTTCTGTTTTACTGAACATATTTTTTAATTCGTCTGATGTTAATTCAATGCGTGATAAAGCATCCGCTACAATGTTGTCTTTACCATTAATGTATGTTATTGTAAAGTCATATTCTTTTAAGGCCAGTCTAAATTTTGTTAATCTACTACTCGGATTTGTCATACCAAAAAGATAAATTAAAGGTCTGTGGTCTGTAAAAATTTTGAAATGTCGTTCATATAAATATGGTTTAAAATGTTTAACTGCCCATACGATAGCTAAAAGTTCTTTTTCAATTACTGAACCATATTTTTTTCTGCTTTATTGAGGCTTCTACTGGCGTAAGCGATAGGGCTGTCGTCTGAGTTTGAAAGTACTGCTCCGATTGTATAGCCCGAAGCATCAGTCCTTAAGGTAAAATGACCGTCTAAAGAAAAATTTGGATCATGTAATACTGGGGGATTTGCTAAACTGTTTTTTAATGATATAAATGAATTTTGACAATCGTTTGTCAAAACGAAAGGTAAATTTTTTCTACTTAAATTATTAAGCGGTGCAGCTATGTGTGCAAAATTTTTTATGAATCTTCTGTAATAATTTGCAAAAGCTACAAAACGTTTTGTTTGATCTGCATTTTTTAATTTTGGGTAGTTTTTAATGACTAAGATTTTAGATGGATCCTAAATATAAGATTTCTTTTGGCAAAAACTCACATTCATTAGGGTTTAATTTTAATTTAAGTCTCTGCAATACCTTTGAAAGATTTTTATTATGTTCAATCAAGTTGTTTCCGAATGCAATTAAATCATCTAGATAAATAAAACATATTTCATGACAAAGACCTGCCATAGCTAAAGTCATGGCTCAACCGCTTGGGGATGTTTTAAACTTCATGGGTACTCGTGTCATTTGGTATTGTCCGCGGTCAGTTGAAAATGCGGTATAGGGTCTACTTTTTGAATCTAATTTAATCTGATAGTATCCTTGGGATAAATCTAAGTGTGAAAAGTACATAGATCCAGATAAAGAATCTAAGATTTCGTGAATGGAAGGAAGTGGAAACTTATCATCCTCAATCCGTTTATTAAGTTGTCTATAATCTATAACTACTCGTCATTTCCTTTGGCCTGAATTATCTACTTTTTTGGGAATGATTAATAACGGTAAGTTCCACTCAGAACGAGCTTCCTCAATAATGCCCTTATTTAACATATCCTCAACTTGTTTGTGTATTTCATGTTTCTGTGAATGAGGCAAGCGATAAGGTTTGATGTAAACTGGAGATGATGAAGATTTTAGATAAATTTTTTGTTCAAAAATATTTGTTATACTTAAAGGATCATTTTCTAATTGAAAAACATCTGAAAATTTAGTACAAATTTTTTGCAATGACATTTTTCCTCTTGATTTAAATCATTAATTAGTTTTAGTAATTTTTCTGCTCTTTCAACTGATTGATAATTATTTTCACCAACTTCGCAAACATTATAATTAGCTAAATTATCTTTTCTAGGTTTAAAATTTTTAATTTTTAGTTCTTCATCTCTAATATTTAGAATTCTGACTTGTATTAGAATATTGTGGTAAGCAGTAACCAAAGTGTTAGCTACGAAAA